TCTTGGAAGGGACGTGGTGGGATGGGAGAAGTTACTGAGGAGGAAAACTTCATCAATTCCAGGTGGTGCTTCTCAAGAGGAAATTTTGGTGGCTAAAAAGAAGAAACTTAGGTGGAGAAAAAGATAACTGGGTTATCTTTTCTATGTCAGAATTTGGGAAGGTGATGACTGGAGCTGGGGAGGGTAGAAGTGAAACAGGAGACAGTTTCAGAACAAGCCCAAAGAGAGGATTTCTCCTGCAAGGTGTGAAATTTCCTGTCAGTACAAGTTGGATGTGCTGGAAGTGCACAGAACTTCCCAAAATAACTTGGCAAATTATTCACTCGAGGTGTCCTGCTTCCCTTCTGCAGTGAAGGTGGGATTCTTCTACTGATCTCTACTCTGAACCTGCCCAAGCACGTGTCCTTGCATGGGTTATTACATCCAGCAGGAGGAAAACTTCTTCCCAAAGAAAGAGATGGGGTTTAGGGGATACTAAAAGTGACCATTATGCTCTTTTTCCTTTCCATGAGATAAGCAAGTAGCAGCTGTGATAGGCCTTTATCTTGAACTTGAGCAGTCCAGACCCCACAGTTCCAGCACCAGCAGTGGAGGAAATGAGCTCTGATGTGCTCTGAAAGCCAGCACTCTCCCTCCTTCATCTTCCAGCATTCAATATTTCCTCTTCCAGCATTCAATACTTCATCAGGATTTTGCTTCTCATGGCACTCTAAACCTCACCATTGCCCCAGAATGCCCTGGAGTGATGGATTGTATCATTAGTATCTAAATGTGGGATTAAAAACTCCAATTGATCCTCGCAGAGGCAACAGAAAATTCCAATTTAAGCCATCACTTTTTATTTTTCTTGCATAAGTTACAGTCAGGACTAATGATGTCTGGGGCTTCCTTCTGCCTTGCCTTTTGTTCTGTAGTTAGCAAAGTCTGCATCTTCCCAGGAACTTCTCCCATTCCATTGATCTGGGAGTCTCTGCCAAGGCTGCAGTTAGCAGCAGGAATGTGCTATAAGGGTGGGAAGGATTTCCTGCCCCTTGGGATTGCTGGGATTGCTGTTGTGTCTCCTAAGGAACCTCAGCACCAGCCCTGGCACTGCTGCACTTGGACCACACAGAATTCCAGGATCACTGGGGCTGGAAAATCCCTCCAGGATCATGGAACCCACCCTGTTCCCATCCCCACCGTGTCCCCAGCCCAGAGCACTCAGTGCCACCTCCAGGGATGGGATCCCAACCCTCCCTGGGCACTTCCAGTGCCTGAGCTCCCTTTCCATGGGGAAATTCCTGCTCTGTCCCCTCTGAGCCTCCCCTGGCCCAGCCTGAGCTGCTCCCTCTCCTCCTGTCCCTGTTCCCTGGGATAAGATCCCAAATCTCCCCCGGCTGTCCCCTCCTGCCAGGGACTTGTGCAGAGCCACAAGGGCCCCCTGAGCCTCCTTTGCTCCAGGCTGAGCCCCTTCCCAGCTCCCTCAGCCCCTCCTGGGGCTCCAGCCCCTTCCCAGCTCCCTCAGGGATTCTCCAGCCCCTTCCCAGCTCCCTCAGGAATTCTCCAGCCCATTCCCAGCTCCGTTCCCATCCCTGGACACGCTCCAGCCCCTGGGGGTCTGCATTGCCCTGGGGGGCCCGGGACTGTCCCCATGGTTTGAGGGGTCTCAGCAGTGCCAAACATCCCTGGACCGTCCCAGCCCCTCCTGCAGCTCCTCTCGTTCCCCATCTCCGTGGGAATGCTCCAGTCTGGGATCACAACCTCTGTGTCCTGTGCTGGGCCCAGATGGTGGAGCCTGAGGGAAAACTGCAAGAATTAAGAAACAAACAACAGCATAAAGAGTTATTTTTGATTTAAAATGCAGCACCCAGAGAAAGGCCAGAGCTACCTGGATGTCCTCACCTGATGAATTATTTATGTCTGATGACAACAATGCTCTGACTCAGTGCTGGTGTTTGAAGCAGAACTTCAGATCACCCAAGACTCACAAACCACACTCTGTCAAAAATTCCTTTCTTCCCCAAACCCATTTCTCACCTGTAGGAATATTTCAGATGTGTTTTCACAAAGCTGCCTGACTTGTAATTAGCGAGTGCTCGCACAACAAACTATTAAAGAGCAATTAGCTGAGGGAAATTCACCGGAGCTGTTTGCAGGGCTGAGGAAGAGTGATAACATTTCCTTGATGGAGGCATGTCAAATTTACACAGCCAAATCCCGGAAATTTATCAAATCCTCAGGATTCCCTGTGATCCTGTTCATTTTAGGGAGTTTTCATTAGCACCTCTGAAGAGCAGCTAACAGTAACACCTGTTCCCAGGATGTTTTTTCCATCTTATCTTGCATGTGTTGCTTTGGCTCTTTGAACTCTGAGAGAAGCAGATTCCCCTTTGTTCTCCCAGATCCTGAGCACCTCATTTATATCGATTCCTTTATTAATTGACAGAATATATAAACATTATAAATATATATAAAATATGTTTAAATATAAATGTAAACATATATACATGTCTATATATAAATATACATAAATATATATAATATAAATGTTATAAACAATATATTTATTATATTATAAAATATAATAAAACTAAGTTTTATTCCTTCTCACTGCATATAATATTGCCTTGTCAACTCTGACAACTTCTCTCTTCCCAAATAATTTGAAAATTATGCATGGATGCTGCAAACTGCTCCAAATGGTATTTGCAATGCTTTCCTTTTAATTACATCAGTTCTGATGGAGATGGATGTGCACACACAGCCAGAGCAGTTCTGGGGGCTCAGGGACTCCATTCCCTGCAGCTCTTTCCAGCTTTTCCCTTGGAGAATCAAAACCACCAAACTTCTCCAACCAGAAGGGTTTAATACAGAAGGTGGCAGAGTCTGTTGTGAACTTTTGTTGCCTAAATGTAAATTTTATTCCATCAACCATGATGCCAAAAAAGAAAAAACACAATGGAATTTAAAAAAAAAACCAACAAGACCAAAACAAAATGCTGAAGAATCCACATTTCCCTTTACTGGGAAAAAAAAAATTAGTGAAAAATGGACCTGTTTTGATGCCTGAGCTCCAGGCAGATCTGACAGAGTCTGCTCACCTTATCTCCCTGATAAAATCCAGGTGCACTTGACACACTCAGGTAGAGAGCAGATATTTCAGCCTGGCTGCAGCACTGACAGCAGAATTAATCCACAGCAAATGGGCACAATTTACAGAGATGGTGAAACATCAGCCTTGGAGCAGCTGCTCCAGGGAAGGTGGCCCTGCCCAGATGGTTTCCAGGTTCCTTCCAAGCCAAACCATTCTGGGATTCAGAGATTCTGAGTTACCAAAGAGCAGCAGCTCTCGGTGCATTTCAGCTTGTTCCTTTCTTCTTGCTTTGCTTTACCCACTCCTGGTGAAATTGGCTGTTGTGAAATGATTCTTAGGGCAGCAAAGGCTGGGGGAGCCCAAGAAATGCCAAAGCAGGTGGGGGGACGCTCTGAGGGCACAGCTTCCCCTCGGTGTGGCTGTGCCAAACAGGACAGAGAAGGGGCAGGAAAAGAGCAGCTCAAAGTCCTGAGCAGATGTGGATTTCTCTCTCCTGAGGGATTTCAAAGTGGGATGAAGCGCTCCAGGAGAAGTGTCAGAAGTGACAGGAGCTGATGAGCTGGAACAGCTGGCCAGGGAGCACAGATTTCCTGCAGGGAGAGGCAGCTTCTTGTGAGAGGGAACACAGGAAAACTGACATGTGTCACCAAGGAAAAGGGAAAAGGGAAAAGGGCTTTCTGGATCTGGTGCTGGAGCCTGACCCCAGGCAAGGAAAGGAGCAGGACCTTTCCAAAGGGCTCTTCTGCAGCCAGGCATTGAGGGGTGTCACCCCTGAGAGCTGGGGGGACCCATCAGGCCTGAGCCCAACCCACAGGGTCACTGCGCAGGGCAGGAAGGCAGCAAGATTTGCATTTGATCAGACAAATGAGCAAAGTTCAAGATAAATCAAGCTCAAGGCCTCCCCTCAGCCAGGACGATGGATGTGATCCCAAACACCCAGGGATCACAATCCCATTTGGGCTTCAGCAGACGCTCTGTCCTCTGCAAAAAGCTCTGAAGATGTTCCCAGGTCAGGGAACACTGTCCCAGGTTGGGACAAGTCCAGCCTGGCCTGGGGCACTGCCAGGGATCCAGGGGCAGCCCCAGCCCCTGCCCACCCTGCCAGGAACAGTTCCTGCCCAAAATCCCATCCAGCCCTGGCCTCTGGCCATTCCCTGTGTCCTGTCCCTCCATCCCTTGTCCAAAGTCTCTCCCCATCTTTTCTGTCAGATCCTTCAGGCACAGCAAGGCCACCCTGAGCTCACCCTGGAGCTTCTCCTCACCATGTGAACAATCCCAGCTGTCCCAGCCTCTCCTCCCAGCAGAGCTGCTCCATCCCCAGTGGGTTGGGCTCTGTTTGGAAGCCCAGCTTTGATTTGCCCCCAGGTGCTGTCTCTGGGCTCTTCTAGCCCCCCTTCAGCAAGGCACGGAGTGGGGGAAATGAGCTGCCATGTGACAATTTACTCAGTTTATTTTAGTGGGACAAGAGCCCTTAAGTGTCACTGAGCTAAATATTTCTCTAATTCATGCAGAACTGAAGAGCAATTAGCAGCCTGATGTCACAGGCCTAGGTCAGAGCTGTCTCTGGTGATGTGGCTGTTCCAAGGTGGGAGCTCAGGGCTGCATGGGGCTGAACTCTTCTACCTTGGGACAGTCCCCAGCTGCCAGGGCAGGCTCAGGCTGGAGATCAGGGAAGGTTTTTCCCCCAGAGGTGCTGGCACTGCCCAGGGAATGGTCCCAGCCTGAGGCTGCCGAGCTCCAGGAGCTCTCAGGACACCCAGGGTGGGATTGTTGGGGTGGCTGCAGGGCCAGGGGCTGGGCTGGGTGATCCCTGGGTGTCCCTTTCCAGTCAGGATATTCTGGGATTCTACATTCAGCTCCCCAGAGACTCATGGTCAGATCTGCCATAAAGGATACCCCAAGATAAAAGATAATCCAAACCCTGTAATAAAAGATCAAAGATAATCCAAAGGCATTTATTTATTGTGATATAGCACAGCAAAATCTGATAATTGTGCAGTTCAGACAGGACAGGGAAGGAAAATTCACTGGACCTGCTCCATCTGCTGTGTTCTGAGGAGCCTCTTGAATTCATGGTGTAGATGATGGGATGGAAAGGCTGGTGCTGGGAGGATCCCACTGCATTCCCAGTGGGATCCAAACAAACACGTGGAGCTCCTAAATGAGTTCCCAATCTGCACCACCTCTGCTCGTCCCAAGAGGCATTTCCCAGCTCTTCCCACATTTCACCTGCTCTGTGCTGTGGGATCACCTGTGCTGGGGCCAGCTCTGCTCCTGCTTTCCCCATGCCTCCTGAGCTCCCCTGCAGGAAAAGCTGCTCATTTATCCCAGTGTGGAGGTGCCAGTGCTCCCTCCTTGGTGCAGACTGACTCAGCCATTAAAATCACTTGGCTGAAGTTTATTTTTCAGCACTGACAGCTGATCTGTATTTTCTCCTCTCTCTCTGTTATTGGTGGCTGCCAGGAGCTCACAAATGCCAAGTGAATTGCTGGAGGGGACTTCAGAAGTGATCACCTTGTTTGTAGCATGGCAAGGAAAAAAATTATGGGCTCTCAGCACTGGAGTAACTGAGCAGATACTCCAGGCTTTAGTTTTGATGTCATGGTTTTCAGATGAATTAATCTTAGTTTCAAACAATAGTTGCTAAATGGAGAGCAAAAGGTGACATAAAAATAATTACAACATGCAAATATAAGGAAAGGCAAATCCACATCCCAGCACAAGGTGACAGAGAGAAACAAATTCAAAATATTCAAATCATTTCTGTCCTTCCTTCCCATCCTCTGAGCCTTGGTGCACCAGCATCAATTTTTCACATCCTCTGCTCTGGAACTGCTGAACTGAGCTGCAGCTGGGGGGGATTTTTGCACTGTGTTTGTGTCTCCAGCTGAATTTGAGATTCACTCACTTCGCTCAGGGCTCTTGACGTGTCAGGAGAGATCCATGACAGGGAGCTCACTGTCACCCCTCAGCAAATGTGTGATCGTGGCAGCCAGGGGAGGCTGATGGGGTGGGCTTTGGAGAAACCCCAGGTTCTAAAGCTGGGGGGAAGTTGGAAAAATACCCCCAAACTGTGGTGTTGGTGTGCCTTGGCTGAGCAGCTGCTGGGGCACTGGGCAGGGCCCACTGGGACACTCTGGTGGTGGCACTTCCATCTCCTCTCTGTCAGCTCCCATTAGGAATGCCTGGCATTTCGAATTTGTTATTTCTTCCTTCTCCTTAGAAAGAATCCTTCTGTCTGTGCCCCACGAAACGCTCCTCCATCAGGGGAGAGCAGGGGGCCTGCACCCCAGGGGGACCCTCAGGGGCAGCTCTGCTGGGACTGGGAATGCAGATTTTTGACAAATCATGACTTTTCCCTGCACAGATGAATTTCTCCTGCTTTAGGTGAATTTCTCACTGTGAAAAAAAAAAAAAAAAAGTCTTTTCAATATTTCATGTCTTGCAAATGAGAAGGTGCCAGTCCTGAAGTCCTGGGATATGCCAGAGCATGTGATGTCAGCTCAGATATAAATGCTAAGAAAAGGGGGAGGAAGGGGGGAATTCATTATTTACAATGTTTGCCTTTGGGGAAACCAGTCCAGGGGCTGGAGTCCTTCCTGGGGAGTGGCTGAACATCACTTGCTGATGGAAGTAGAGAAGAAAGACTTTGGGTTTTTTCTCTTTGCCCTTTTGCTTTAGAGGGTGGGCAGGCCCTGGCACAGGTGCCCAGAGCAGCCCCTGGATCCCTGGCAGTGCCCAAGGCCAGGCTGGATGGGGCTTGGAGCGACCTGGAATCATGGAAGGTGTCCCATGGCAGGGATGAACTTTGAATTCCCTCCCAACCCAACCAGTTCTGGATTCTATCCTGGCTCTGGCTGGTGCTGCACAGCAGGATTAGAAGCTCTCTTTTCTGCCTCATTGTTATTATTTTTTGTTAACCGCTGTCAGCAGTGCCAAGGATGCCTCAAGTCCCCCACAGCAGCTCTGGGTCTGTCTTACAAAGCCTTTATTAATTATTATGTCCTTTATGCAGTTCAGGAACAAGTCTCACCTTCTAATCCACTTCTCCCAGCATTCTCAAAACATTTGTACTGTTAAGTAAAAAAATTGGTTTCCTTTGGCAGAGGGTTTTCAGGAGACAGCAGCAGCAGGGCCCATTAATTCACCTCACTCAGGTTTCTGCTGCCTCATCCCATTCAGGAGCAGATTAAAGATCATTTCTCCAGGCAGGGATCTGCAGCAGCCTGAGAAAAATGGGGAAAAGGCCGAGGGTCGGCCTCAATCTGCTTGGTGAAACAGACAGGGGAGGTTATTATTGCCTTGGCTTCCCCACACTCCACAATCCCCCTGTGTTTATCAGGTTTATCAGGTTTATCATTGCTGCCACAGGCTGCTGTCCTTGGCCGAGCCTCACCTGGCACCCAGCAGAGGTGTCCTCAGGCCTTGCTGCTGCCTGTATTGGGAATTCCAGCATTCCCAGACCCAGCAGAACTCCAGCATTCCCAGACCCAGCAGGATTCCAGCATTCCCAGACCCAGCAGGATTCCAGCATTCCCAGATCCAGCAGAACTCCAGCATTCCCAGACCCAGCAGAACTCCAACATTCCCAGTCCCAGCAGAACTCCAGCATTCCCAGTCCCAGCAGGATTCCAGCATTCCCAGTCCCAGCAGAACTCCAGCATTCCCAGATCCAGCAGGATTCCAGCATTCCCAGACCCAGCAGAATTCCAGCATTCCCAGACCCAGCAGAACTCCAACATTCCCAGTCCCAGCAGAATTCCAGCATTCCCACACCCAGCAGGATTCCAGCATTCCCAGTCCCAGCAGGATTCCAGCATTCCCAGACCCAGCAGAACTCCAGCATTACCAGACCCAGCAGCTCCAGCATTACCAGACCCAGCAGGATTCCAACATTCCTAGACCCAGAAGAACTCCAGCATTCCCAGACCCAGCAGAACTCCAGCATTCCCAGACCCAGCAGAACTCCAGCATTCCCAGACCCAGCAGGATTCCAGCATTCCCAGACCCAGCAGAACTCCAGCATTCCCAGACCCAGCAGAATTCCAGCATTCCCAGATCCAGCAGAACTCCAGCATTCCCACACCCAGCAGGTCCAGCATTCCCAGATCCAGCAGGGTTCCAGCATTCCCACACCCAGCAGGATTCCAGCATTCCCACACCCAGCAGGATTCCAGCATTCCCACACCCAGCAGAACTCCAGCATTCCCAGACCCAACAGAACTCCAGCATTCCCAGACCCAGCAGAATTCCAGCATTCCCAGTCCCAGCAGAGCTGCCCCTGAGGGTCCCCCTGGGGTGCAGGCCCCCTGCTCTCCCCTGATGGAGGAGCGTTTCGTGGGGCACAGACAGAAGGATTCTTTCCCCTTGGAATATTTGGAGTTTTGGCCCAGCCCTCGCAGTGCTCTGCCCCAGGTCCCTTTGCTGTGCCCTCACCGAGCCAGGAGATCTGGGGGGAGGCAGAAGGTGGTCGGTGCCAAATGGAAATTCCCACTTTTAGCCCCCATGAGATGTTTTTAGTTTGCCAGAGGCTCCCCCAGGCCGACATGGAAGGGCAGGAAGGTGCACCCCTCATTAGGGATTCCCTTTGATTAGCACCGGCCTGGGGAGAGGCCTAAACCCACGCCACAGAAATTGCTGGGGCCTGACAATTTGTGCTGCAGCCGCAGAGCATTCTCTAATTAAAGGAAACCACCAAACCACCACTTCTCCGTGGTTTACTAAACTATTTCAAGTTAATTGAATGGGGCCTGGATTAACATTCCTGCTGTGTTTGCTGTGGAGGTGGTGCCTGTCAGGGGGCCTATTCCTCTTAGCCCAGTTTAAGAACCATTAGAACCCAGCTGGGAAGTGGGGAGGCACAGGCAAAGAGCAGCTCCCCTGCTTAAATCATTGCCCCAAAATTAGTCTGGGTCTAGTAAGGGCTGGGACCAGCCTCAGCAGAGGGAATTTCATCTCCAGGTTTGTTCTGGGATGGAAATGGTTTCTTTGCAGCCCAGCCCCAGCACTTCCCATCCCCAGAGCCGAGTGTGTCCCTGGGGATTCCTGGCTCTGGCTCCTGGGGGTTCCAGCCCCTGTCCCAGGTGTGTCCCTGGCCTCATCCCCCTGCAGGGCAGCAAGGCCACCCTGGGATCCCAGACAGGAGCCTTCCACTCTGTTGTTTTAAAGCTGAGCTGATAGGAAATGATCAGAAGTGTTATTCCAGCATTTCACTCTCTCAAGGAACAAGCCCTTCCCGTTGGGCCGTTCCTGCTCAGAGCAGAAGAGCCTGGGCCAGGTTGGACACTACCTGGGAATGGGGCTCTGCAGGCAGGGCAGACACAAATTTGGGAAATTTCAGTGAGGGAGACTCAAGGAACTGAGGTAGGGATTCATTCCCTGCAGGAATCTTAAGTCAAGAAGGAAACTACAGGCTGCATTGGATCAGAACCTCTTTCCTTTCCAGGTATCTCATGGGACAACATGGTCCAGCTTCAGGAGTCCTTCAGGAGCTGCACTGCCCAGTTCCTGGTGGTCTCCATAGCTCCCACTCCCAGCAGCACCTCGGCACAGTTTGTGTTCCACTGCTCACAGCGAATTATTCCAAGGATCACAAGCTGCTCCATTGATTTCCCCTAATTATAAATCCTATAGAAAGTTTCCAGCTTGCCACAGTCCCCATTTTCCTCCCCTTGGAGTCAATAAAAGTTAAGAGTTGCTCCCGGGTTCCTGTCATTACCACAATAAAACCCAGAGTAATTGAAAAGTGAATCTGGGAGATTGCTGGCTTGGAGAGCAGGGATAATTGGAATTACTTGGGAGCCCAAGCAGAGCTTGTCCCTGCCTGCCCCGAGCTGGAGCCATCCTGGACACTCTGCCAGGCTGACACAGAGCTCAGGGACGATGGATGTCCTGCATGGAGTAAACCAGGAGCAAGGACCACACTCCTGCCGAGAGACCAAAATTCACTGCATAAATTCAGACTGACAGAATGCTTTGAGTTGGAAGGGACCCCCAAAGATCATTGAGTCCAACTTCCATGAGCCAATGGGGGTGATTTTGAATCCCATCTGAGGTTGTTCCACTTCCTAAAAGATACAAATGACAACAAAACAATAAAAAAGATAATTTCTCTCTCTATTAGCATAACATTTGAGATGCAGAAGCAGCTGAGCATTTGTCAAGAGAACAATTCCTTCCCTCCAGACAGATTTTATCTGGTACAGGAAGACCCCAAACCCCTCAAGTCATTACTGCTGGCACAATTTGAGGATGAGCTGATCCCCAGAGTTGTGTTTGTGCTCCAGCCTGGAGCAGAAGCAGGAGGACAGAAGACTCTGCAAAATCTTTTTGGTTGCAGAGCTGGGAGAGAGGGAGAGCAGCAAAGACTGAGAGGCTGAGAGAGCTGGGGCTGTGCAGCCTGGGGAAGGGGAGGCTGTGCAGAGACCTTCCAGCACCTCCCAGGGTCTGCAGAGGACACGGGGAAGGCAGAGAGGGACCCTGCATCAGGAACTGGAGTGCCAAGACACAGGGAATGGCTCCCAGTGCCAGAGGACAGGAATGGATGGGATTTTGGGCAGGAATTGTTCCCTGGCAGGGTGGGCTGCCCCTGGATCCCTGGCAGTGCCCAAGGCCAGGCTGGACACTGGGAGGTGTCCCTGCTATGGCAGGGGTGGCACTGGATGGGCTTTAAGGTCCTTCCAACTCATCCCATCCTGGGATTCTCATCACAGCCTGAGGTTTTCTCCCCTGATCACTGCTCATTGCAGAGATGCAGAATCATTCATCTTCCGAGGGGTTAATGAAGGAGCCTAAGCACACTTTGTTTCAATGTTCCCATATATCCCTGTGTGTGCAGGCAGGTTTGCACACTTCCATCTGGTTTTATCCAGCACACACAGAAACACCAATTCCTCCAATTCACTTATTTCCTGCACAGATCCCAGCCCTGCTGCAGGAAATGTGCAGGGAGGTGGGCAGCAGGGACCAGAGACCAAGTTCCCGGCTCAGTCCAGATGAAAACCATTTCTGTGAGCAGCAGGGATGATGGGTTTGGTGTTTCTGCTGTCCTTGTTCCTCAGGGATTCAGCTAAAAATAGTGAGCGCTCATTGTCACCAGTGGCTCCTTGGTGCCCAGTTCAAAGCTGGGCTGCAAATACCCCTGGGATTTAATCACCAATTTCCATCCTGCTTTGTTGTGCATGAACAAATCTCACCAGCCCTGCTCTGCTGTCTTTATTGTTGAAAAGGGAGCAGCTGTGCTCTTCACATCCTGTTCCATGACAAAAAGCGTTTCTCCTGGCAACTGAAGGTGTGGAAATTTGGGATAATTCCTCTGGTTGCCTTGCAGCAGCACTGGGGCTGTGGTTGGAGGTTTGCAAGGGGCAGTGAGGGGTTCCCAGCCCTCCTGGGTAGCTTCCTGCAGTGCTGATTGCATGGGGGTAAATCCAAGGATTTCTCACCCAACATCCATCCTGCATTCCTTTGGAGCCATCATCCCAGGAATCTCCAGCCTGAAATTGAGCCCCTTCCTGGCTCCACCAATCCAGCAAACCCATAACCCCATCCCTGTGGCCACCTCCTGCCTTCAGGAGCAGCCCCTCAGCATGTGGTGACCCCACTCCACCCCACTGGGGCTGATGTTCAACCTCTGCTGGAATTCTCATCCAGTTCCTGGCTCACGGACAATTTCCCAAGGCCAATACCAGTCTGGGGTCTGCTGTAGTTTGTGGGTTTGGTTTTTCTGCCTCCAGGGAATCAGAATCACAGAAAGGTTTGGGGTGGGAGCAACCTCAAAGCCCACCCAGTGCCACCCCTGCCATGGCAGGGACATCTCCCACTGTCCCAGGTGCTCCCAGCCCCATCCAGCCTGGCCTTGGGCACTGCCAGGGATCCAGGGGTGCCACAGCTGCTCTGGGTACCTGTGCCAGGGCTCTCCACCCTCCCAGAGAGCAATTCCTGCCCAATATCCCATCTAACCTCTGGCAGTGGGGAGCCATCCCCCCTTGTCCTGTCCTGCGTGGTCTCCAGCCTGTGACCAGCACGAAACAGGAGCTGACAGGGCCAAGAGCCATTTACAGCACTCCCTGTTAGAGTGAAACCAACCCCAAAGAGCCAAAACCCACACTGAGCTGTTGAAATGAGGCTGACGAAACACAAGTTGGGGATTGTGGCATTGCCCTGGGTGTAACTGGGCTCTCTCCCACAGTTTGACATGCAGAGGATAACGCTGGAGGAGCTGAAGCATATCCTGTACCACGCCTTCCGCGACCACCTCACCATGAAGGACATCGAGAACATCATCATCAACGAGGAGGAGAGCTTGAATGAGAACTCTGGGAACTGCCAAACGGAGTTTGAAGGTGAGAGGGAAAGTCCCTGGGTTTCTGTTCAATTCTCCTCTTCCTGTGTCTGTAAAACTCTCTGTGACCCGGGACAAGGGTGAGTGTCTAAGCCAGGCTGAATTTCCCCGACATCTCTGAAAGGGCAGCAGGCAGAAACACAAGGCAGAGGATGAAGATAGCCCAGTCCTTGGCCTGGCTAATGAATGGGATGCAGCAGCTCCATCCTCACCCTCACCTCTGTTAAACACTGCAGAGGAGCTAGAGGAGCACAGCTGAATTTTAAAAAACCTGCAGGAGGAGGCAGCAGCAACACTCTCTGAATCACACCGAGCAACAATTTTTGTGTTCCTCCTGGAGAGCAGCAGGGAGGGAGAGCTGTTTCTTCCTTGCCTGGAGCTGTTGGTGCCCACTGACCTGCTGATCCCTGGGGACAGGAACCAGCTGTCACTGCTGCAGGGTTTTGGGAGCTTGGCTGAACCATCCCAGAAAAAAAACCGAGTCCCAGATCCTCAGCGTCTCATTTTGGAAGCTCCAGTTTCCAAAAGTGCAGCAGGAACAGCTTTTCTCGTGGGATGTTTTGGCATTGCTGGTGCCAGGCAGAACCTAGAAGCAAAACATCTTTTTTAAATGTTGGGAACACACACAAATCCAGCAGGGAATAAAGATCAGCCGAACTGTCAGCAATGGGACAAAGTTTTGCTCCAGGTGCCAGTGGCAGGGGACAGTTCTGGTGTCTGACAGCTCTGACAGGAGCATTTCTGCCAGGAAAGAATGGGCTGTGTCCCTGCAGCTCTCCAGGCTGCCAGGAATGACCCACCAGTGCCTTCAGAGCTCCCAGTCCTCAACCACCCTACAGGACTCAGTAGCAGGAATAAGATGGGATGGAATGTGGCACTAAGGGACAGCTCTAAGCTGTCCTGGAGGGTCTCCCTGGGGGTCACTCACTTCCAATTAGTGCACTGAAGGAGATGCCTTTTGGGGAGAATTCCTTGAGTTTAATTTAGGTGTTACCTTGGGATGAGGTGAATTGCACCCTAAAAGAACTTCCTTTTTCTTAGTTCAACTCCCCAAATAGCAATTCAAATATTTCTTTCAGCTCCCATCTATATTTAATGTATCATCCATCCCACTGAAGGGCCTTTAATTCTGGGGAAGAATGAAGCCAGGATGAGCCCCGGTGGTTCTCACTGAGATTTGGGGATCTCCTAGGGGAGACAGGAGCACCTTGGTGAAAGGGGGATCTCCACTCAGTGTCACCTCGGGGTGTGTTCTTGGATCCCAGCCCCAAACCTTTCTCCTCCTGTGGGCAGAGACATCCCCCTTCTCTACAGGTGAGCTGGCTCAGGTCCTGAAGAGATTTCTGTCATACAATTATGCCATTATGGGATAATGAAGTCTTTATGTTGATGAAATCTTCAGTATCAATGTGGATGACAGACCTCGTCCCTCTCACCTCACAGTTTATCCCAGTTCAAATGTCTGTATTGCAGTCAGGGCCAAGCCCAGGGTTTCCTCAGCTCCCTCTGAACATTGAAGTCATTTGCAGGATGTCACATCCAGGGGAAGGACACGCCCAGGGCAGAGGCACAGTTCTGTCCTCAGCTTTATCAGGGCTCAGGGTAGGACAGTGAATGCTGTGTGATTTCATGGGACACAGGGAAAGGACAGTTTGCAGCAGCACTGTGCTCCCAAAGATTTGCAGTGCAGCATCCTTCTCCTGGCAGTTCCCTTGGTCCAGCACTCAGGACAGAGCTGTGGCACAGCAGTGCCAGTGGCTCCAGGGCTGCTGCTGCCTGCCAGGGGGCTTCCACCCCCAGCCCTGACCCTCAAACCCACGGGATGCAGCCAGCAGCTCCTCCCTGCCCCCCCAGCCCACCCAGCTGGGCTGGGAATGACAAACGGAGCTGTAAAACCCAAAATAACTGCAGGCAGCCAGAGCGAGCCACCATCACTCACCTGTGGCAGGGCTGGGACACGGCCACTATAAATAAATACACTGCTGCTGTCCTTGTGAGGAACTGCTTTCCTGCAGGGGAGAAAGCTGCCAGTGCTGGGAGCACATCCCAAAGCCACCCTGGGCATGGTGACCTGGAAACAGCCCGGCCCCATTAACCCCAGCTCCTGCTGCAGGAGTTCTGGGGCAGTGCTCTGTGCCACTGAGGGAGCCTGGAGCAAAGGGGGATCAGGGGGAAATTCTGGCTCTGCACAAGTCCCTGCAGGAGGGGACAGCCGGGGGATCTGCTGCCAGGGAACAGGGACAGGAGGAGAGGGAGACCAAGACAGAGCCATGAACTGGCTTTATTAAGTCACAGCACAAATTCCCACTGACAAGCTTAGTAAAAAGTAAAATTAAAGAAAACAAGTGCTAAAAATCCCAACTCTATCTGCTTTTTAATTGCTGCTCTCACCTCTTTTGTCAATTATTCTGCAAGCATTCACTTGGAAAGGTTCTTAATAAATCTGATTTTGGGCAAGCACAGAAAACTTAAAAAAGTTTGGAAAAGTGACGCACGTACCATGGATATTCCTGGGAATTGTCACAGTGGGGGCCTGAGTGTCATCAGGGAGCATTTCTTGATTTTCCACTCCTTCCCAGTTGACCTGGATGAGTTGGAGGAATTCACACAAGGTCAATAATTGTTGTTAAAGAACTTTAGAGACAGCTTGGTTCAAACTGAAAGAGGGAAAGTTTAGGTCAGAGAGGATAAGAAAATGTTCCCTGTGAGGAGGGAGAGGCCCTGGCACAGGTGCCCAGAGCAGCTGTGGCTGCCCCTGGATCCCTGGAAGTGTCCCAGGTCACTTCCAACCCAACCTTTCTATGATTCCATCTTCACAAAGAGTTTAAAAGAAATACAAAGCTAATCCCAAATATCCCTGTGAACATTTAAAGGGATTAAAAACCATGATGAGGGAGGGGAGTTCCTGAAGGGTTAGGAGGGACTGGGATGGGCTGGTTTGGGAGTCCTGGAAGGTTGGGTGGGTGTGTTGCTCGGGAATGTCCCAGCAGGGAGTGGTGACAGTGAGCACAGGAGGGTTCTAAAGAGAGCCCAGGAGCATTCCTGAGCTGCTGCAGGAGGGAACAGAGGGAACAGAGCCCCTGCCCCCTCTGACCACCCCTCTTGTCCCCGCAGTGCACGCCCAGAAGCAGAACCGCCAGACGTGCGTGCGCAAGAGCCTCATCTGCGCCTTCGCCATGGCCTTCATCATCAGCGTGATGCTGATCGCGGCCAACCAGATCCTGCGCAGCGGCATGGAGTAGTGCTGGCACGGCTGGAGTGGTCCTGGCACGGGATGGCAGCCATGCATGCGCACCCGGGAGAGCTCCCGCCCCGATCCCACGGCACCGACACGCGGGCACAGCCGGCGCCTGCGGCAGGAGCCTGAGCCAGCAGCGTGTCCTGTGAACCAACCACATCCTTTTGGCAGGGACATCAAAGGGCTGTTCTAATGCTTTAAAGGTTTTGTTTCCTAATGCAATAATCCCATATCCAGGAGTCCCGTATTATTGCTTCGAAACAGCAATGGCAGCGCGGAGGAGGCCGGGCTCCGGCGCTCCGCGGTTTGAAGGAGGCCCAGCCTCGGGACTCGTCCTTTCCCCAGGGCCCACTGACTGTCCCACGGAGCTCCCACCGGGCCCACGCTCGCAGGAAGTTGATCGTAGCATTGCCACAAGCGAGTTCCTTTTGTTCCACGTGTTCCAGCTTCACTTTCCTTTTCCCTTATGACCATGCCATGGAGTTTACGGCATTAGAGGGGAGCTAGAGCATCCTTGTACAGTATTTTCTGATGAAAAAAGGGGAGAATTTGCCAGCACCATACAAAATGTCTATTTTTTGCTTCATCAACTCCACCTTTGACATGAGACTGTGGGGTAGCAGGAGTCTGTTGGCCATTTTTTTCTGACTGTGAATCAGGGCTTGAGGAGCACCACCTGGGCATTGCTGAACTTGTGCAAAGTCTTCCAAGGGACTCTGCCACCACCAGCGCCAGCTAAACTTCCCCCTCCTCGGGCCTTTCTGCATATTCAACATTTCCTCTCCAGCAGTTTTCCCCTTCTTCTTCATTGGTCTTCAAGAATTTTCTTCCCAGGTGAAAATCCTGAGGGAAGCTCTTCTCGAGCTTTCCTCCCCTCTCTTTGCTTGCACAATTTGATTCCATTTCATGTGGCCTGCTCATGATCTGCAGTGAAACCTCCATGGCAGACATCATCCTGTGGGGGAGGTTTTATTTTCACCCACATGGAAAAGTGTGGATTTGACCAGACAAGTTCTCCGTTCCCTCCCAGGATCCATCCCACCACCCCCATCCCATGGGCAGGCTCCAAAGGGGGAAAAGCCGAGTGCAGCAGGAGAAGGAACCAGACCTGAGCCCACTCCCGTGTGTTTGAAGCGTGTCAGACTTCCAGATCGGGGAGCGCTGGGTGCTTTTCCTGGAATACCTCTTGAGGAGCAGCAAGGAGAAGATGGAATGATGCAGAGCAGGGACACCACACGGGAAGTGCAAGGAGCCGGGATTGCTTGGGAATGTGTTTTTCCTTTAAAACTTGATACAAATCCGTGCATTTCCCTTTGGATGAACTGTGCCCCTGGGTGCCACACCAGGACAGAGGTGATCTCCTGCCCTCGTGGGAGGGGTCTCCCAGCTGGTGATCGTGGAGTGCTCCAAGGGAGTTCCACGGAGGCGCTCGGGTGTTGGAGTGGGGTGGCTGTGCTGGGAGAGCTCCAGGCACACCCAGGAGCCCTGAGATGTCGCTCCTGGAAGTGGAGGTGACTGTTCCCTGTGCCACAGAGGGCGGGGTGGCTCCCCTGGGGGTTGCACAGTCCCACACTGCAGCCATTGGCTTCCACTGGATCCATCCCCAACACCCATCCCAGCTCTTGCTTTTCTACCTGAGTGACAACATTTACCTGCATTTTTGGCAGCCTTATTTAAAAGTCTGCTGCTCTTTGTCCTGTCTCCCACCACGCCTTTAAACTCAAGTCACTTTTAGGTGTCTCAGCTCCCACCTCCACCTTGTCCTGCCATTTTCCTGGTGTCCCCTCCATCCCAAAGACAACACCTTTTCCTCAACAGCTGAGTTGGTTTGTTCTGCCTTTCCCAAACACACAGCTCCTGCATTTCTGTTCTACTGTGACCAACAGAGGTGAACTGCATTTTTTTCATAAAAAAAAAAAAGATTTTGTCTCCCAGAAGATGGAGAGATTTCCATTTGCTGCAGGGCAGCAGCAGAATATCTGTGGGATATTCTGGTGTGGGATTCTCGGTGCTGGGGAGCCCAGACACGTTTTCTGTGCTGGGGATTACAGATAATGAGCTTGGAGATCATTTTTAGGAAACTCATCCCCATTTTTAGGTCTCAGGGGTCTGTGGAAAGGTGGCAGCTGTGGGAAAAAAGTCTGAATGTTCCTTGCCACAGAGGAATACTCATTTTGTCCCTGGGATGATGCTGGAGTGAGCATGGGCAGATGGAGGGGAACAGGGAAGAGTTCTGCACTGAGCCCAAACCCACAACCCCAAACCAGGCATTTCCTCACATCTCCTCACCCACAAACCCCCAGCAGACTGCAGGCCCAGAAGCACCTCATGGACAATGATTGTCTGCATTCCCTGAAGCTTTCTGGAAGGTTCCAGAGTTCCTTTCTGCATGCTCCATAAACCCTTGTAAATACAGCCATTCTCCAGCCCAACCCTTCCCCTTGCAGCTCCATTTGTAAAACCAAACCTATAATGAATATATTGGTAAAAGCCATAGCCTGGTGTCAGTAGAGTTCATTGCACAACTCCCCACTGATTTTACTGGGTACAGGATTTTGGGGGCTTTGGGGTGTGATTTTCTGTAGGGAACCTCACGTTTCCATCACGAATCAGGGTCATGTCTTGCCAGAGGTCTCCTTTCCCTTCCTCCATCTCCAGGCATCTTTAGTCAGTGACTTCTGGCAATGCAGGATGGATGAGGCCAAGTTATTCCATCCTTTCCTTCCCCACAACCTTCCCATCCAGCAGCATTGGATGTCTCCTACCTCCCTCCCTCCCTGGCTCCATTTATGTAATAACCATTTATCTCCTTTTTTTTTTTCTCTTCGACACAAGAGGGGAAAAATAGGGCTTTTTGCTGCTTTTACAGACAGGAGGTAAAAATAGAGCAGTAAAATTCTGATTGGAACCTGATGGCAAAAGCTGAGGGGGGAGAAAGCAGAAGAATCAAAGACATAAAAATAAAAACCCCACATCCCATACTTTAAGGAAAAAAAACCCTATTTAAGTGCTAATTAACATACTTTAAAAAATACCCAGACTGCAGCAGAGCTGTCAGAAAAAGCTCTAAACTTCTGCTCTTGCCAGTTCCAGGAGGATTGAAGTGTCTTTTCAGCCCTGCAGTTCTGGAGGAACAGGAGATTGCCATGGCAACCCTGGCTGTTCGTGACATGGGTGCCACCGTGACAGAGCACACGCCATCCCAGACTTCCAGGGATGGGCAAACAGCTCCCAGCAGTGGGACAGGGGCTTTTCATGGATTAGGAAATTATTAGGAATTCGTGAGCAGCTCTGTTGGCTTGGCCACAGAAAAACGTGTGCAATTAAGGGGATTGAGGTGCAGGGAAGGCTTCGAGAGGGACGTGGCGATTTCAGCCCGAGAGGCTTTGGTTCCATTCAGGAGGGACCGAGATCCACTCAGCCTCAGCACTTTCTGTCCTGGGCTTGCTGAGGTCACTTTGGGAAGGTTCTCCAGGTGGGGCTGGAGCTCTGCTGGGAAGGATTTGTGTTCCTGCTCCTGCAAGGCTGCACCCTGACCACCGCTGAGCTTTAGCAGCTTGGATTCCCTGCTCCTGGAGGAGCCAGCAGGAGCAACAGCAGCCTCAGCAATGCTGAGATAGCGTGGAGGCCGTGGGGAGGTGAATTCCAGCAAAAGCTGCTAAGGAAGGAGCACTGCTCACCTGTCAGGGTGACAGGAATCACTCTTGTCATTCCAGTTTGTCAGAGCCAAAGCCATTCCCTCGGGGCAGCCGTGAGGAAAGCGCAGCTGGGGAGTGTCCAGGCAGGACAGGGGCAGTGCCTTTGTCCTGTGCACGGCCAGGAGCTGGACACAGGTCCTTGTGGCTCCTTTCCAGCTCAGGATACTCCGTGATGGTGGTGCTGGTTCCCCTGGAGAGCCAGACCTTGCTCACAGCCAGGGGTTAGGCTCCTCCAGGGGTGTCACCTCCAGGGCCAGCCACGAGTGCACCACTGAGGAGGAATTTCTCATCAGAAGCAATGGCAACATAACCAAAAGGTTTGAATTAGGAAAGCTTGGCTTTGTTAGGACCGTGATCCTCACGCTGTGGGAGATGATAGAGAATTAAAGAGAGTTCACAGAATAATCCTTCCTGCTCCATGGGCACCCCCCTATCCCCCAGTCACTGTCAGCACCTGGGACAGTGATCACAGAGCCCAGGTCCAGGGTGAGCAGGAGGGTGGGAGGGAGGAGGATCCCCAGCTCCTGTCCCTGCTCCCCCGTGAGCCTAAGCTGAATATCTGGGTGTAATCCAGTTCATTGGAGAGATTCCATCCTGGTTATCCAGAGGTTTCACCTGCTGGACATGTGCACTGGGAGGGCTGGATGTTGGCTGCTTTCATTCCAGCATCTTGGATACTCTTTATAGACCAAGTAAAGAGGGGTTTTACATCCAGAACTAGGGTAGGAAGCGATCAAAACAAGCTGAGGTAGAAAACATTCCCAAGGTTCCCAAGCCACTCTGGGTGGCTTAAACCTGTTTGGATGAGCTGAGTTCCCACTGGTCCTTTCTTCCATTGAACCACAGGAATATTTTGTCCCCAGATCCCTCTCTGCACCCTCCTGCCTGTTGCAGGAGAGGGAGACAGCTCCAGGGAGGGGCTCCATTCCCAGCGAGGACCCTGAAACCCGGGGGGATTCTCAGCTTTTCCCATGGAAAACTCATTCCCTGCACGTGCTGGGAGCTGCCAGGGCTGTCACCACCCCGAGGTGACAGGAGCACAGCCCCTGTCAGCCCTGGATCAGCGAGGGGAGAAGCAGTGGGAGGAATTCCATTAGAATCCCTAAGAATGAAGTCCCTTATTTTACCCACCCCTGTAATCCATGATTTAGTTCCTGCTTTATGGATGAGCGTTTGAAAGAAGAAAAACCAACTCTTCTAAAATGAGAATCTGATGAAGTGTCTTTTTTTCTTGGCTCTGAATCACGCTTCCATTCCTCTGATGAAGATGTACAGAACTTGCTGGGTTTCAATCTATTATTTTACCCTTCTTTGCTCTGACAGTACAATTACATTTCCCTGGCAGCACTTAAAACCTGTTCCTTTCCCAGGATTTTAATGCAGGAAAAGAAAAGTTTCACAACATTTCCATCTCTGTGTGTTGTTGGCTGTTCTCAGGATGGGGTCTGCATTTCTCCAGTTCAAGAAGGACATTTTAGTCAGCTCTAGGAAGCGCAAAATCTTCACCAAGAGCAAGGCAGGTAGAAAATCTAACACCATTTTAATTGGAAGTGTGCTCCACTTACACCTTTCTGCTGGAAAACTGCTGTAATTTGGCATCTTCACTATGAAATAATTGCAGCCACGGAAGAGGGAGAAAGGAGAAAAAAGAAATCCTCTGGATCTAGAGCTCAATACTCAACAATTTAATGATGAAAGTACCACAGGGTTTTTTTCAATTTTCTGTCAAGACAGACCAAAATATTTTGTAGCCTTGAAAACCATTGCCAAATGAAATTGTTATTTCCCACCCCATTATTTCCCCAGCTGTTCCTGGCCTGTCTGTGCCAGCATCCCAAAGCAGCAGCTGGATCTGCCCCACTCAGGTGAGATCCATGGTCCAGCTTTCCTTTCCCAGCTGCTCCTGTGTCTCCATCAGCCACCCAGGAGACCTTGGGAAGCTCTGAGGAGGCTCCAGGAGCCCCTCCCTGGTGCCACCAGCCCCTGGGCACATCCTGTCCCTCCTGGGGACAAGTCCAAAGGGTGCAGGTGGTGCTGCTGACACCAATCCCCCAATTCCTACCTCTGTTCCACTGCAGCACCCCAAGGATGGGCTCACATCCCTGAGCAGCTCCTGCTCCCTCAGAGTCATCGGGGCTGGGGAGGCTGAGCAGGTCACAGGCCCCAGGTCAATTAGAAATAACTCATTAGAGTTAATTGGCTGCAGGTAGAACAAGCCCAGGCCCCAGCCTGTTGCCATTTAATCCACAGCAGGGTCTAAGGACCCAGCACCTCCTGATTCTTCTCTAGGAAGTTCTCTGCTAATCCCTGTGTCTCCCTTTTGTCACCATCTAATGTTTTCCAGCCATTTCCTCTTCATTTGTAAACTCACTGGGGTTTTTTTTGGCTCCTTAATAAAAGACATGGCTTTTTAATTAAAGACAAAAATTCACAAAGTCAGCAGCATAATAGTAAAAAAAAAAAAAAAAATCAAACAAAAAACCTTTGTACAAAATACTGTAAATATTAATATAAATTAACTGGGCATGCAACTGAAATAAATCCTATGTTATTGCAAGTTACCTGAGTGTATAAAGGAGTGTATAAAGGAAAACTGAATGCCATATGTATCAGCTGTTCCCTCTAACCAAACTCTACTGTAAATATATAATCTGTATAAAAAAATTTTAATTTTACCATTATTTATGCAATAGAAATAAAGTTTTTTTTTCTTTTGATGAAGCTTTTTCTCCTCCTTTGAAGCAGTGATATTTATTCATACCCAAGTACAAGAGCAAAAGCAAGATTTGCATAAAATATTAGGACAGAGACCTTTTATTCCTTCTGAGAGATAAATGAACATTTGGGGGGGGTTATTTTGCTTTGAAAATAGATTTACATATTTAAAAGCCTGTTACTACAGAATTAGCTCCTGGCTGCAGAAATGGGATCAGCAATTCCAGGTGCACAGGAAGCCAGAGGGAGGGACTGAACTTCTCCTCTGGAAGGCAAAGCCACAACTGGTCAGATCTCAGAGAGAAAGGCCAGCACTTGCTCCAAAAGCTCTTTTTTCTATCTCCCACAGAGCCAGAGGCTGATCCCTGAGCTCAGGTGGGCTTGGGGCGCTGTTCCTGTGGGAGGAGGATGTTGAGCACAGCTTTAATCCTGACTCTGGTGCTGCCAAGGCTCGAGAGCTGCTCTGGGAGGATTAACACCCTCAGCTCTTCATTTCCCTGCAGCTTTCCCTGCACAGGAGCCAGCCCAGCACGTCCTGCTGGAGAAGGGACAGTGAGGTTCCTGACTGACCTCCCACCCTGGCACTGCTGCCTAAATTCAGTTTGAGAAGGGCAAATCCCCCCGCTGGGGCCAAGCCACAGCAGCAGGAGAAGCCTGGGGTAGGGGAAGGTGTCCCTGCCCATGGAATGAGATCATGAGATGGGCTTTAAGGTCCCTGCCACCCCAAACCCTTCTGGGACTCTGGGACCCTGCAGGCTGCCTTTGTTGCTATGATCTCACCAGCCCCATTCTCACTCTTTGCTGATTAACATCTCAGGGAAGTATTTGCTAATGCAAATCCAGAGGCAGTAATTTATTTGGGCCGAGCCAGTTAATCCTGGCAAGGCTCTCCCTTGTAAGTATAGACCAATATCATCTTGTTTTAATTGCTTCTTTCAGTCTTCCTCAACAAATCAAAAACATTTTAATTAAAAAATTCACCAAGAGTATCTTCCGGATCTTTCCCCGTTTGTTCTTCCTCCCACCAAAATTATCAGGACAATTGGGAAGTTCTAAGGAAAGTAATTACAGCAGATGTGGATCTCTGCTGTAGCACCAGGCCTGCTGAATGCTGCACATCAGTCCCCTCACTTCTACTTTTTTTGTGAAGCAGAAATTTCCATCCTTGGTCCTCCCTCAGAAACGAGACTGTCTGTGATAATTTCATTCCAACTCTCAGCCAGCTGCTGAGGCTCAGGGAAATTTGGAAGGGAGAAGAGGGGAGAAGAGAAATACAATTAAAGAACTGCCAGGGATGCAGGGGTTTGGGCACAGAACAGTAAGGGATGGCTGACAGATGTTTGATTTTACTCTAATGCCATTCCTAGGCAGAAAAGCCCTGCTCCACCATCACCTCCCCGAAAGGGAAGATGATAAATGCACTGGAAGGGGCAGGATCAGGCTGAGGATTCCAAGGGCCATGCCTGGCACACTGCAATAAATCTCTCCTAACCCTAATTACTGCCTCAGTTTCCCCTTGCCCATAATGACCTGGGATGTCAGAAATCACTGCCCACACGATGACAGCCGAGATGATCACGGGAGTGTCACTGCAGACAGGAATTAAACACAGGTGTCAGCACATGGCCACAGCCTGCAGCACAATGCTGGTGGCCCAGGAAATTTTCAGCCTCCTCAGACTGCCCAGGGCCAAGGAGAACACGGTGCCACCAAGCCACCTCCAGATCCAACAAGTTCCAGCTCACAGAGTTTCAGAGCAAAGCACCAGAACCTCCTTGAAGTGAAAGATGTCACCTGGAGGGGCTGAGAGCCCCCAGGCTGGTACGAGCAGTGCTGGTGTAAGAAGGGTAATCACTGCATGTGAGGCAGGAAAAATCTCAAGTGATTGCTGTTTGCAGAGGCTGATTAAATAGAAATTAAACTCATCTGCATGTTCAGTAAGAAATGTGAATGGAATAGCAAGAGCATCCTTCCCACTGGCCTTTGGGGAGCTCATCCCTGGCCTGGCATGTCCCACTCGAGCTGTGCAGCTTCCAGACTGGCACCAGCAGCTCTGGAATCTGCAGATTGTTGAGATTAAACTTCCAGAGAGGTGGTTTCAGATAGAGAATGAACAGGGAACTCATCAGCCTCAGGTTGCTGGTAGGGAGGACACAGTTCCCCGTTTGCCGTGTTCCAGTTCCTGCTGCTCATCCTCCCCATGGGACAGAACAGAACAGAACAGTTTATTTCAGCTGAAATGACCTGCAGTGATCAGCCCAGCTCTGACCACTCCACAGCTCACCAAAAGTTACAGCAGGGCAAATTCCAAACTCTTGCTAAACCAGCTTGGAGCATCCTGCAGGTCTCGGAGGAGATCAGGATTGCCTGTCCTGGTGTCTGGCACCCTTCTGCTACAGAAAAGCTTCCTCAGGTTCCTCAGGCCTCCATGAGACCCTGCCATGAAGTTATCAGAGACAAACCACGAGTGATGAATTCTCCAAGCACCCAGCTCTCATTAAGAAGAGATTTCTTCATCTTCTCCACCCTCGTATGAGGGGCCAGAGGCTCATTTCTAAATCTGAATTATCACCCAGAGCCCCCCGGGCTGGCACCAGGTCCCTGTCACCGTCTGTGAGCAGCAGGGACCTCCCGGTGCAGAAGGGATGGAGCAGCTCGGAGCAGCCTGTGCGTGGGAGGTGGCTGGAAAACCTGGGGGCTTCTCCTGCCTCGCTCAGGATGGCTCTGCTGAGCTTGGGCTGAGCCAAGCCTGGCTCTGGGGAGGGACAATTGCTCTCCTGAACTCGTGGTGGGGAATGGCAATCACAGACCCCAGGGTATTTCATTATCAGGATGTCAGGGCACAGCACCATCACAGACTTCAGGGTACAGCATTTATCACAGACCCCAAGGTACAGCATTATCACCATCACAGACCCCAGTACACAGCATTTATCACAGACCTCAGGGTACAGCACCATCAGACCCCAGGACACAGCACCATCACCATCAGACCCCAGGACACAGCATTTATCACAGACCCCAGGACACAGCACCATCACCATCAGACCCCAGGACACAGCACCATCAGACCCCAGGACACAGCAACCCCAGGACACAGCATTTTTCTCTCCCCATTTCCAAGGGAGCCTTTTGGAGCAGAAGCAGAGCCTGTAGTGCTGTGAACAGACGGACCCAGGAAGACGCGTGAAGAACCCAGTGACCAAAGCCCTGGGATCTGAGGGAGAGGAGATGTTGTTTCCTGCCACATTGTGTGAGCTCCCACTGTGCTGGTGCCAATTTTAGTGTCTTCTCTCACTTTGAACCAGAGACAATCTGAAAGCCTGAAAAATACTGAAAATGGGGATTGCTTCTTATGGTGAGAGAAATCTCCAAGTACCAGGAACAGGTTCCAGCTTAGGACCTGTCAAAATTGAATGTATTTGAAAGTGCATAACCCAGACTTTAATCCTGAAGATCTACAACATTCTGCTTGGAATATTTATCATTTCTTATATTCCACTTCATTAATAGGCTCAGAGAAAGGTGTCATGCATGGGGGGTGCTACAAAGTATTGGCATTTCTTGGGTTCAGTGCTGCCATGATAAACTGCTTAAACCATTCAGGATATGTCAGTGGGAGGCTGGAGTTCAGTTCATAATTTCAATTATTTCAGCACTTTCAAACGAATCAACGTCCACACCACCCTTCCAAAGGAGCACTAACATTTAATTCTTTTTGATCTTTCCTTAGGAGACACTGAGATCCTGATGCCCTCACAATAACTGACAGAGACATCCTCCACACCCTGGCAGAGGGAGCCCAGTGCTGTT